TGTATGTGTGTATATATATATATATATATATATATATATATATACATACATACATACACACACACGCATTATAATTCATATTATAATGACACATATTATACACATATTGTAATATATGTAATATATGATATTATAAATTCTCAATTTACCTGATTCTTACATAACCAGTTTAGAATTTCCCATTGTAGAAAGAAATACTCAGTGTAGTAACCCTAAAATCATTTTTTATTTAATTATCTGTATAGAGACATATTTCAGTGCTACTACATGACAGGAACATTAATAGTGTTCCTAAGCAAAATGTTTGAGTAATATTACTACAGCGCTGCCTTGCAAGCACTCTCAAAAAGTTTGAAAGCGATTAGTTGAGAATAGGTGAGAAGCAGCGTGAAAAATGTCTGGGGGAAGATGTGATATTTTTGGTGTGAAGCAAAAGGCCTGTGCTAAAAACAAATCTTGCTTCCAATTAGGAAATAACTTTCACTTGAGGTTATAGCGAAGGGATGTTGGAACAACGTGCTGATTTGTAGCGTGACCTCTCGGTGCACCAAACCTAAATCATTTGCAGGGGGTGACACAGACCGAATTCCTGAATTTCTTTAAATGCCTCCTTAGAGGCTTTTCTAGACAAACGAAGAAATAAAACACTTTTTTCCCCCTTTCTCCCTCCCTCTCTATCACAGTATAAATACTGTTCAGAGCCCTCCATACACAAAAAATAGGAATTCTCTCTCTGTCTCACTAATAGAATCCAGAAGACCCCTCTCACAGAGTCGAAATGAATACGGGAGAGTCCTGCAGGGAGGCGACCCCCTCCTCTTTGCGCTCTCCTAAATTAATAAATAGTCTATAATGTATTATAAATGTAATATTAACAATAATAATAATAACAAATTTCATATAATTATTATTACTTAAATGTCATTTATAATGATTTATAAAATAATTTTTAATTAAGTAATTGTTTTTGAAAGGGGTCATTTTTTCTGGATTGTGACGCAAAAGCAGCCACAAGGTTAAATTTCATATTCCAAATAATTCAAATTCAATTCAACAACTTTATATTCTAAAAGGTGAAATAACAAACATTGGATTTAGATTTTTTTCAATTTCAAGCATCTTGATTTAGCATCTTGACTGAATATTCCCAGATTTCTTTGTGCTTGGCTGATAAAACTCATGGCACATTCTCTCCTGAACGACCCAAGGCCATGAGGTAGATCTTGAGTAGAAGGAGGATATAGCGTAGAAAGGAAAACACTGACACTTCTCCTCTATCCCTCTGTCGCTCAGGCAGTAGGAATGTGAAAAATGCCTGTGAGAAGAGAGCAAAGAAAGACACCTGAAAGGTGCATTTTGAGGCCTGTTACTCTGTTCACCCACAAATCCTCTTCAGCTTATGTAGATAAGAAATGCTTAGTCAGTTGCTTCCATCTAGTTAGTTTTTTTTTTTTTACATAAACACGAGAGCATGGGAAACTGAAATGCATTTTGGATTAGCATTAACTGATGAACTTTTATTGAGCTGACCATTATCTTTTATTAAGCTAACAGTTGATAATTTTAATGTATAAAGTCACAGTTTGCGTTGTTTTGTCATCCCTAGTGCTTTCACAGGAAAATACACAGATAACAAAGAGGAAGGAACCTACCACTGTGCCGTTTGCGGTGCCCCTCTTTTCACGTAATGACCCATCTTTAACATTCCCATTGTATTTAATCTTTGTTTTTGAACTAGAAAACATCTCATTTGGTAGTCAATATTTTGTTATTGATGACTTACTGTCCTTGCAGGTCTGATAAGAAGTTTGACTCTGGATCAGGTATGGTTCTGCACTCACGTATAACAAAAATCAGAATAGATAAGACAAATTAGTTTATTTTTGTAAAAATGCTTGATTTTTTTTATTCTCAGAACAGCTCCAGTACATATTTTTGTAATTGTGTACATGATTGTACAAGACTAAGCCTAATTGTTTCTCAAAGAGAGAGAGAGAAAAATAGATAAGGCTCATTGCTCCTCATTCTTATCTTGTCTGGCTCAATAAGGGAGAGTTTGACCTTCTCAACCTCCTTTATGGTTGATTGCAAGGACGAATGTGAATCCAGTCAGCTGCCTAATAGGCTGCAAGTTTGTGGCTTGAAACCTCACATGCTCCTTTATATATTAGTTACAGCACCTACAGCAAACAACACCCTGACTTCAAGATCCTACAAAATATCTGAAATATTTTAACTTATCTGTTCTCTTTGAGATTAATGATATTGGCTATAAACATTCCACCACTGTCATCCATAATCTTTTGGAATCCTCCGGTTCTTAATTTGTGCACATCAAACATTCTTCCTTCACAAATGGAGAACAACTCTGTTTCATTTTGAGTTTTTTTTTTTTTTAATTAATTTAGTTACTGGCTTACAAAAAAATGACAAATAATCCCTTAAAATAATATTTGCTTAGAATTGTCAAATGAGGAGTATATTATAGTCACTCTGATTTTAATGCAGATATGCAAATAAGCATTAAATGCAGATCATAGTTGTTATGAATTGGGAGTTTCCTGGAAGTGCTTCCCATCTTGTTTTTAACATTGCTTTTGTAGTTGCAATGGTATATTTTCTGTTACGAGTTTAAGATATGTATTCAATGTTTTCTGTTTTAAGCTTAAAAAGACTCTCATCAGCTCGGTCTAAGTGAATGTTGAGTTGACGCTGAGTGTATACAATGTAATTGTAATATATTGCAGCAACGGATTGTTGATCCCTTACAGATCTGAGCTCCAAATCACATACTTCTGTAGCGTTACCCATGCTATTTTTATTCACTCTCCGAACAAAGTAAAACGTGTATGCGAGAATCCTCTACAGAAAACAGGATGAAATGAGAAACATCTGGGCCCCGTGTTGAAAAATCAGATTTTCACTGGAGTTGAATCTTTACTGTCTTCGACGTAGAGATGGGAGCCAAACGGGCTGCATTGCATGCAGGCAACTCTGCAGCCTGGACTCATATAGACTCAATTTCCTGTTTTGTTAGAGTGACGCTACACTGCTCCATTCACTGGGCCGCTCGCCCTGGCGATAAAGCTCCATTAGATCAGCTCCGCGACGATCCGCCGGGATTCTCCCGGTCTGAGTCATAGGATTCCTATATTCCCCCTAGAGCTTCCTGTGTCTGAGTGGAATTTCGTGGCTTTGTAGTTGCAGCCAAGCATCTCCTCCCTAAGAGGGAGGAGAGAGAGGTCAGTATAGATGGCGATTGAGGGGTGTTTGAGGGGTTGAGGAGGGAAAGTATAGATTGAGTGGGTGGATGATAGACCGACTGACTTCTGTTTCTCACCACACGTAGTATCACAGCAGTGAACCAACTCCTGCTTCCTGATTATAAAATGTAAAATCAGATAGAATTACCAAGATATGCTTGCCAATAATTAGGATCGAAAGCTAGAATAAAGGGCATGAAGGAACCTTGGTTGGCAAATCTCCCACACTGGCCCTTAAACAACTCTTTCTGTTAGTTCTCCATTAGAACAGAATAATTGCAGGTACTTAGAAAACCTTGAATTAACCTTTTGAAGGTCTTAAAAATTTCTTACATTTTTGGCCAGAAAGTGAAATGGCATAATTAGGTTTTTAATGATATTTTAACTCTCATGATGTACCATTCAATACAGATCATTTGTTTTGTACCGGTAAAAGGTTCTTGAGATTTTTTTTGAAAGTCTCTTATGCCTTCTAAGTCAGCATTTAAATAATCAGAAATACAGTAAAAACAGTAATATTGTGAAATATTATTACAATTTTAAAATAACCATTTTCTATTTTAATATATTTTAAATGTAATTAATTCCTCTGGTGAGAAAAGCTTAACTTTCAGCAGCCATTGTCTTCAGTGTCACATGATCCTGATTCTAAATTATTCTAATATGTTGATTTGATGCTTAAGAAACATTTCTTATTATAAATGTTGAAAACTGTTGTGCTGCTCATTGTTTTTATGGAAACATGATATATTGTTTTTCAGGATTCTGTGATAAATAGAAAGTTCATCAATCAAGTTGATCAATGTAATGTGCTGAAAAATAAATCTTACTGAGCCCAAGCTTTTAAACTGTAGTGTTTTTCTACCTCTAAATCGCTAATATTCTCTAAATGCTCTAGTATACATTTTTTGTTTTCTAGATTTAAAAACATACTATTTATACTTAACATTGCAGTTCTGTTGCTGCAAAACTTCATCTGTAATGTTTTGAATAATAATTGGATGTGGTGTACCCTGCAGTGCCAGTAGTCTTGTACTTCTCATTCATTTTGCTTTGCAGCGTCTAATTTAATGTCTTTCCCTCTACCAGTAATCAGGAGGTAGTACTTTAAAATAGGTAGGGTTTTTTTGTCGCTAATATTCTCTAAATGCTCTAGTATAAATTTTTTGTTTTCTAGATTTAAAAACATACTATTTATACTTAACATTGAAGTTCTGTTGCTGCAAAACTTCATCTGTAATGTTTTGAATAATAATTGGATGTGGTGTACCCTGCAGTGCCAGTAGTCTTGTACTTCTCATTCATTTTGCTTTGCAGCGTCTAATTTAATGTCTTTCCCTCTACCAGTAATCAGGAGGTAGTACTTTAAAATAGGTAGGGTTTTTTTGTCAAAAACCTAAACAAATATGCCAGCAGAGGCTGTGTAGTAGTACGTTCCCATGGTTCCTCTCCTCCAGACGTTCCACGTACCCAGAGAGCCATGAGCAGGACCACCCATGAGCCAGAGCAGCCATCCTTTCCACTTGCACCCCTGTTACTGGGTAGAAATTTTCCAGATGAAAGAAAGGGGATTGTGAGACAGCCCGTAACTCTGCTGATAACGCTGACCATTTTCAGTGAGGTTTGTTTCACTTTCTGATCTCATCTTCAGTGGGGTATAGATGGACGATCCCGTATATCTTGTTTTGCCACAAATCAAACACTCGAGAATCATGGGGGTGAATTTTGCATCAGCAAATACTCTTGCCATTTAACAACATTTTCTTTCCAAACCAAAGGACAAAGGTTTTTCTACATTCTCCATTGTTCTTTTCCAAATAATCCTCCTAACCCAATGTGCTTTGCATTCTAAGCATATGCAATGTGTTGCATTAAGGTTACTGATTAGTTTGCATTGCACTGGAGCAAAAGAAGTGATAGACAAGGATAGAGTGGCAAGAAAATGTGAGGATTCACTCAGAATGCGCTTCAGCATCAGGACAGGCCAGGAAGAGGACAAAACCTTTAAACTTACACAGAGATGGAATTGAAGGTTTATAGACGTGTGGATCAAATTAAAGATTCACTTAACCCTCAATGCTGTACTGCTTTTACAGGATGGCCGTCCTTTTTTGATTTGATCAATAAGGACTCTATAACACTAACTGATGACTTTTCGTATGGGATGCACAGAGTGGAGACAACCTGCAGTCAGGTACAAAACCAGATTTAAATTTTTTATGCATTGCTATAAAAACAACTTCTTGATTTTTTTTTTCTTTTTCTCTTTGTAGTGTGGTGCTCACCTGGGCCACCTTTTTGATGATGGACCTCGACCAACAAACAAACGTTACTGCATAAACTCCGCTTCTCTCAATTTCCAGGCGAAAAACAGTGCCTCTGAGGAGGTGGAAGCATCTGGAGGAGCAGGTCAATCACCACCTTCTAGTAAGAATGAAGAACTTTAATAGGACTTGAAATAGACCAATCAGATGTCACGCTACTCCAAAGTCACTCCTGAACCATCAATTCCAAATCAAGTGAGCCGTGCAATCAGACAGCTATATATTTAGCAACATTCATCTGAATCATGGGTCCTTCAAGATCACAATATGCAATATCAGTATCCAGATAACAGATTAGAATGGCCTTACGTTCGCTCCCCAACTTCTTTACTTAAATTTTGTGTCATTTGAAGAGCTCACGACGCTTCAAAGAAATTCGCTCTGCTAAAATATTTTTTAACACTTGTTGGAAATTTTCAGTTAGGGGCAAAGGTCTGAGACTACATTGGAAATCTGGTATTTTTTATTTGTTTTCATTTAAATTCATATTTTTAAAGATTGAGAATTTTAAACCACTGTAAAACAAAAACAGTGTGATGGGGAAAATTAAAAACAGTTTCTAGGTCACTAATCAAGTAAATTTGTGTCATCAGAGAGTCAGGTTTTCTGAAGCTCAAGATGATTTTTGAATCATACTCAAATCATGCTTGAGAACATGATCATCATGTAGCTCGCAAAATTGCTGGTGTCATTAAAACAAACATTTTCTCATATTCTTGTTGATTTTTTCAATTCAGATTTTATTTTTGAATGTTTTCGGGAAGTTGTGGCCTAATGGTTAGAGAGTCGGACTCGTAACGCAAAGGTTGTGGGTTCGAGTCTCGTACCGGCAGGGATTGTAGGTGGGGGGAGTGAATGTACAGCGCTCTCTCCCACCACGACTGAGGTGCCCTTGAGCAAGGCACCGAACCCCCAACTGCTCCCCAGGCGCCGCAGCATAAATGGCTGCCCACTGCTCCGGGTGTGTGTTCACGGTGTGTGTGTGTTCACTGCTGTGTGTGTGCACTTTGGATGGGTTAAATGCAGAGCACTAATTCCAAGTATGGGTCATACTTGGCCACATGTCAAGTCACTTTCACTTTTTTCTGATAATATGTGTAATGGGAAAAAAAATGCATTTTCACTAGTGGTCTCTGACTTTTTGGACCCCATTGTATATTGAAAGTCCAATGATTGGAAATGAATTATATATGTATACTTTCTCTGAGCGCTGTGTTGTTTTTGAAGTGACATGTGATACAGGGAGGTCAAGAAGTTTGAGGAAAATGCTATGCAAGTGCTCCTGTGAGCAGTAAAATAAGCACCGAGTGGAGAACAAAGCATTCTTTGAAATAAAATGGAACAGATGACAAATGTTTAGTCTGAACACAAATGTAGCCTGACTTTTAAGGGTGCTTTTTTGGTCTCCCTGCTTGCAGTGACTATTTTTGTCCCGAGTTGTGAGTTTTGTTTTTCCTGAGATATTGATTTATTTTGATTGATAGAATTTAATTAATATTGACCAGTGTGATTAAAGAGATATTAAGAATAATGTGTTGTTGTGAATTTTGTTCACATATTTAGGGGCCGAGCACTGAAGGTGTGATGGCTCCTATTGTATCCGATGGCATGTATTATTGTTTTTTCCCCCCTTATATGAATTAGTTTTTAGATATTACTTTATTTTGATAGTAACTTTGCAACTACATGTCAACTACCAGTCATTAGAGTGTTAGTAGACTGTCTGCTTAATATGGTTGCACTTTATTTTGATAGTCCGCCAACAGACATTCTACTGACTACATGTCCAATTATTCTACTAACCCTAACCTAACAGGCTACTTTGTATTATTGTTTTTTTCCCCCCTTATATGAATTAGTTTTTAGATATTACTTTATTTTGTTAGTAACTTTGCAACTACATGTCAACTACCAGTCATTAGAGTGTTAGTAGACTGTCTGCTTAATATGGTTGCACTTTATTTTGATAGTCCGCCAACAGACATTCTACTGACTACATGTCCAATTATTCTACTAACCCTAACCTAACAGGCTACTTATAGTCTAATGCGAGGGTAATGTAGTTGCAAAGTTACTTAAAGTTAGTAGAATGTCTAAAGTGGACTGTCGAAATAAAGTGTAACCTTTGATTTTATGGAAAAGAGCTGCTCGGACATAAGGAATATCGACAAAATTTCTACTTTTGCATTCAACGGAAGAAAGTCATTTGGGTTTGGAACAAAATGAAGGTGAGTAAATGTTAATATAAAATTAATAGAGGTTGATAAAAGCTATTTTACATTTGCATATCTAGCAAATTTACTCTTCAGTGAACTTTTTGCTCATCTTAACCCCATTTTTGTTGCAGCATATCACCATAAGAGGAAATTCAGACTCCCTGTATGTCCTCTTTGGGTTAACTGGGTGGAGGTACGCTTGGTGAGCTGCTGAAAGTCCTTCGAGCCTGGAGAGGTTACGTCAGCCTCGCCATCCTCTTTGGAGTGCTGATGTTTAGAGAACAGAGTGGTTGGCCTTATTCTGAGAGTGTGGGAAAAATCGTCCAACGGGCCTGTCGCTGAGAGCGTTTATGTTATCGATGCAATAAAGAATATTTACAAGTCAGGTGTGTTTAGACTGAGGGACGCTGGTGGGGGGGCTTTCGACGGAAGATGGAGGTTTTGTGGGGGGACTGGCAGCTGGAGTGTCTCAAACCAGCTTTCAACCCCATATCATCTCCCACCCGGAAGTCAAACAATTTTGTCATTTATGGAGCAAAAATGAACACGCAGGACACTCGGTAGGTAGCGTGACTACTCAAACTGTTTCAAGCCTTTCTTTTGTTGCTGGAATTCCAAAACATCCCATTGAAATGAGTCACGTCTTGTCTCTGGCCCAGACATTAATGCTTTAATGCACAGAATGTAGGTAAAACTCGTCCGTTAATCTGTTTTCATGTTCAGACTGTCCGCCTCACTTCCTGCCACTGAAGTGTCACCCCGAGCAAGTCATACTATATCTTGTCCCACTGGCCCCATTAGTTTGCTCTATGAAAGCACTAAACCAAACAAAAGATCTCCAGGCAGCAGCCGTACAACCCAAACACACAATCCGTGATCCACAAAGTCATCCAACACATAAACACCTCCCTCGAACCCTGGGACAAACACTAGACTCTCCATATAGACTGAACACACTCATTCACGGTTTCTTTGGGTACGCATGTGTGCAAGCCTCCTTCTTTCTTGCTTCATAGCCTGCCATTAACTGTAGCTCTGTGCTGACTTTGAGGGATTACAGGGGCTTTGCACAGACCTGCCTCTGTGTTCACCCGAAAATGCTTGCTTGTTTAAGACTGCAGCTTTGTTGCAGGCACAGGAAACCTTGAATTTAACAGGGTTTATGAATTATTGGTGTTAGTTTTCTTCTTACTTCCTTCCTTCAATCTGTGGAGAACTTAAAAATGTATTTGATAATAAATCAGGCCCCTTTACCAATCATACATTCAGGCTCTTTAACCTGCATAGTCACTTTCATATTCAAAGATTGTGGAACGTTTGTGCAAACCAAACTGAAATTAGCTGCTTGGAAAGCAGTGGAAGTGGTTTCTGTTTAGCTTTCCAAGTGCCAGTGCAATCTCCACACAAATCACACATTGAAAAAGTTCCCCCCATTTATGTGGCTCTTTTCCATGCAATAATGGAAACTAAAGTTTTCACCTTTCAAAATTACCATAAAAGTACTTGAAAAGTCCATATTCCAGGTCTGCTTGCATCTTTTTGAACTTAGAAATCTTTCATTCCAGTTAACTGTAACTACATGAAAAAGAGCAACCTCCTTTTGTGTTCCACCGAAGAAGGTCAAATGTGTTTGGAACAAATTAAGGATGAGTAAATTATGGCAGAATTTTCATTTTTGGTTGAACTCTTTCTCTTTAAGTCTAGAATTATCTTTGTCTAGAATCAGAATTAACCATTCCTTTACCACAGTTGGACGCACCTCAAGGACCAAGAGTGAATTAGGATACGCCTTTGGAGGCTCTTTCTAACTTATCAAATTTCTAATAGCACTTCCTGATTGTCCTGAAAGAATTGCTTCATCCCAAGCTCTCACAGACCTTTCCCCTGCATTCGGAATGTTTCGGATGTCATAATCTGGTCAATTGAAGAAGAAAGGGACTGAAGTGAGTGTAAAAAAAGAACTTGTGGAATAGTGTAGCTCTGCCAGATCTATCAGACATTCATCTGATGGATGTGTTGTGACTCCTTTCCTGAAGAAAAGTCAATGATCTCATTTCAGCTCTGTTAACTTCTGCCAAGTATTTACTTTTTTCAATGAGCAGTATGGGGGCAGAGGGACAGAGTCTGCCTGTGGCCTCATTCCAAATGATGCAGTTTGACAGAAACCACATGAAGGGCCGAGGGTATGCAGTATGGCCAGGATCTCAAGCTTGAAGGCAACACTCTGCCTCTACCAGGCCCTGCTTGTACCAAGTGCGCCTTTAGTATGATTGGTTCCGGATGCACTCAAGATATATTTTACCCGAGGTTGTACCAGTCGCACTGCAATCGTTTTGATACTAAACTAAATGGTTAAGTTGTTTGGGAATATTGTGCAGGTTGTCTTTCCCTCTGCTGTCGTCTTGCAGTACTTTTGCTGAACTGGAGTTTGGCGTCTGCAAGTGAGACATCACAGCTTTGGAATGCCACCAGGCGATCACCACACCACCTCTTCAGCATGCCGAACATAAATAAACCCCAGGATCTATCTGCCTTGTTATTCCTAGCATTACTATCAGGAAGTGTCCGGTGGTGATCTATGCTCTTCAAATAGTTCATTTGCAGCCTCGTTAAGACATTCTTTTCCCAGGACAGGGAATCAAAAAGCAGCTCTGTGTTTTGAAGTTGGTCAAGGGGATGAGGCTCACCACGACCCCTGTGGTTGCTTTAGGAGTACGTGCTGTTATTGGGGACATGTGTGTCTGTCTGCAGCTGGTGTATTGGAATGAAGAGTCTTAAGTCCAGCATCTCTCGAGCCGGGAAAACGTAATTTCTATCCCTGTTGTTTTGAATCTGCCAGGTTGTTTTAATAATAATAAAATAATAATTCATTACATTTATATAGCACTTTTCTAGGCACTCAAAGCGCTTTACATTGTG